AAGAGGATGGAAATAATAGAAATTAAGCGGAATAGAAAGGTTTCCAAATTTTCTGGTGCAATCATAGCAATCTCCAATGTGACTTTGGCTAGACCATTTACAGTTTGCTTCAGTTTTTCATACCTAAAATGAAAGTCATTGCTGTTTTGTTTTATTATTGCAGATTTTGCTGAAGTTATTTTAGTAGCTTCTTGTCACATTCTCTGAATCTTTAGCTTAGAAATGAATTCAAATTGTTTAATGCTGGATTTTGCTGCAGGCATACTTTGGATTTTGCAACATTAAATGGAGGGATAGAAGGAAACTTAAAATTATAATAAAATAAAAGCAAATAAAATCTTAAACTGAGAAGTGCTTCATTAAATATAAATTCCAAGGTCAAAAGGAAGTCATAGAATCATTTCCTATCTTTATAGCATTGATATTTTCCTATTCATGAGAGTGCATTACTTCTGAGTAGCACCTGACTTTAAAATTAAAATGATCACACAAGTGATTTTTTTTAATATTCACTTGTTTTGATGCTATCCACTCTCCTTAGCTTGTATCTGATCGATATTTTAAAATAATTCTTAAAATATTTGTAGGAGGATAGACATATAACATTTTTTTATTCTTTTCCTTTCATACTGAAAAAACACTCAGAAAATCTATCCTTTAATTTTTCTCCCTTCAGGTGCACTGATCTTAAAATAGCACTTTTTTATTTTTTGTACCAGGGATGGAACTCCGGACTTTGTGCTTGAGAGGCAGGTGGTGGAACTACTGAGCTAAATCTCTGGCCCTAAAATATCATTCTTTAAAGAGTTAAGCAAACTGGGAGACTAAGAAATCTCCGAAAGAGATTTTAAATCATTCTACTTATCATAATTCTATTCTTAGTAATTTCTACTAAATTAGAAAGGTGATTTTTTTGTTGTTCATCCAGTATTTTAAAATTAGACCAGATATTGTTAAAAAGAAAATAATTGATTGTATACTTCAGAAAGAAAACTATAGCTAAAATGATTTTGCTTAGTTTAAAAAAAAAAAAGTCCTGGAATGAAGAGATTTTCTTTCACAGGTTTCATAAATGTTGAATATAGATTTCTAAAGTTGATGCCTATAAATAGGGAGCCACCCAACCTTTAATTATAAATTTGATGTTCATTTTCAAATTTCTATGGTTGCAAATGTACAATGAGCTGTGAGAGCAAGATGGATATGACGTTATAATTTAAGGTGAAATGTTAAATGTTGATGTAGAAGGAGAAATACATTTCATGGATTCCAAGTGGTCTCACAAGAGTGCAAATTATCTGAGTGGTCACAGTGTAACTTGCTTATGTCTGTATCCGTTCAAACACCAGTAACCATCAAGGATGGACAGCACACAGCATTCAGCTGAGCCCACTGAGAGAATATGAACGAGATGCCTCTGTCTGTAAAGATTAATAACAAAGAGCCCCCGTCTGGTTTAGGTGGATTCTTACCAAAGATTAGAATTGGTGATATGGACGGGGTGGATAGAGGTCTTCCAGGTAGTACAAAAACTGTAAAAAGGCTCCAAAATAAAGGGTCGGGATGTGCATCTACCTGTACCAATTACACACAAGAGTGTAAACTTTGTCTACTGCAAAAATGTAGAAGGAAAAGGAAGGGGGTCAAGAGATGGGGGGAGGGAGGGACCGGGAAAGGATGAAGAAAGGAATCGAGATGCGTTACGTGCGTGCACTACCTCCAAACAGGCATTGTATCGCCAGGCGTTACTCACATGTGCTGATCAAAAAAGCTTTAAACTACCAGAATTCCAGCACAGATATGGAACAAGCTGGGCAGTGTGGGGTGGTAAGGCTACCATGGCAACGACTTACGTGGATTTCACAAAAGCGAGTGACTAACTCAAGAAGCAGAACTCTGAAAATTTCAGCAAATAATTTCCATGTGAATTCTAATTCTGTTTGTTCTTTAAGGGGTGGTATTTGAAAATTCCCTACACAGGACATGAAGCTTTAAATTGGAAATATTAAAAATGACTTTGAAAATGAAACACTTTGCTAAATTAGCTCTAGCAGCTCCCGATCTCAGTTGTTCTCTCTCCATCAGTGCACACGCACACAGGTGCACACTTGAACAACACAGAAAACTCAATTTTAGTGTCCCATATTTCCAGAGGCCCCAAGTCATCTTTGCTTTCTTCCTTTTGCCCTCGATTTGAAGAAAATATTTATCTGACGAGATCAGAAACATTGAAAATCCCTCAATAACCATAGAACTCTTTGAAGGCTAAGGAAAAATGAATGTGCATGAGATCAAGTGCATTTCATTTTTTTAGTCCTGTGAATTTCACACTTGTCTGGAACTCTATTATTGTTTCCATGTTCATTCTTTAGACTGGATGCCTTGACACTGAGTTATTACAACTTCTAAGGGAAAGAATATAAGAGGAAATGTCTACGTAGAAGACAACACAAAGTCACCATTTATATAACAATGACATGAGCTAAACTATTTTAGTGGTATTTGTGAAATATCAGCTCCATTTCTATTAAATCAGGAATCAAATGGCAGAAGGTCATGGCAGAACAAACTCCTTAGTTCATGAGAGCCAGGAACCAAAGCAGGAAAATAAGGCTGCTAAGGAATGAGCAAGGAAACTAGCTAGACATAAACCCCAAGACCATGCCCCCTCACCCACCCAAACACACACACCCACAGTGTGTTCATCCGACCCCCTGGGTGAAACTAAAAGCCAAACAAGTTGAAATTGTACCCTAACCATGCCACCTCTTTGCCCTTCTTTTTTCTAAATACCAAAAGATGTTGCCATGTTTTACCTCTAAAATTAGAAAGATTAACCAGAAATTATTCTGACAAAGCAATACAATATAGGTGTTGCATCAAAAACAAAAAGAAACGCTGAACACTGGCAATGTGGGGTATGTCAAAGACATAAAGACTACATATTGCTTTGCTAGAGTTGCTATAACAAATTACAATGTCTGGTGTCTTATTGTTTCACAGACCTGGAGACTAGAAGTCTGAGATCCAGGCATTGGCAGAGTTGGGTTCTTCTAAGGGTTACATGACTCTCCTATGACTTCAAGTTTTCTGGTAACTTTTGGCAGTACATGACTCATTGAAGCATTGCTTCAGTTTCGGCCTTTATTTCCACATAATGCTCCTGTGTGTGTCTGTGTGTGTATACACACGCACATGTGTGTGCGTGCTAGTGTTTCCAAATAACTCTAGTTTCTCGAAAGACATTAGTCACTTTATAGTAGAGAACACCATAGTGATATCATCTTAATTGATTACAATTGCAAAGGGCTTATTTCCCAAAAAAGGTCACAGTTTGAGAAAATAGGGATTAAAATTCCAAGATATTGTACGTTGAGAGGGTCACAACTCAGCTCTTAACAGAGATTCAGTGCCATCTGAAATCCACCAGGGACTGTGCATTGTGATGTTGAATATGATTGAATGTTGATATATCAAATTGATGAAGTAGCCTAGAGCAATTAGAAGTATAAAGATGACCTTGTAAAATGAAACCATTACAAAATAACATTTTGTTCACATTATTGTTCTACCTATGAAACCTGCTGGTACATAACAAATAATTAAAAGGAAGTGTGACAAAGTGAATATCCTTAGAGGATTAAGGAATGATATCTATGGGGATTGTCACTATTTATTTTATTGCACTGTCTCATCTGTGATGCAAGCATTAAAATGGAAATGCTCATGGCAAAGCGTCCAGCAGGGTTTTTCTTTGGGTGAGCCTGATTTAGGAGGAAACTGATTAAGCCACTTCTGGTGATCCTGAAATCAAAAGCAGTCACTGAGGGGCAAAGAGAATATTCTTCTAGCAACAGGAACACAAACAGAGTTTATTCAATATTTGAGAAGGATGTGTTATCCTCTTGGAAACTTCTAGGAAAAGCCTAAGTAATTTGTTCTAGCATGAGTGAATATGTTACTTTAAAGTTTCTATAAGTTATAAAGGTCAAAATAAAAAAATCCCACAAACCTATGAAATCCCAAAGTTTCAGAAAGAAAATCCATAATAATGCCAGAATACATGTCCTACTTTCAAACAAGTATTAAATCAATCAAAATGATGTATTTGGTAATAAATTCTAGAATATCCAACTGTAACACTTTATGAAAAGAGAAGTTAATTTCTCTCTTCCCCTCCTTTCCCCAATTCAACAAGTCTGTAATTACAGAGAGTCTGGCATTCATTCAACAGCCCCGTATCACTTAGTGCTAACATCCTTGATTCCCTTGGCTTTTCATTCTCTCGCATTTCATCCACACAAGACAGCGGCTGAAGATCCTACAAGATGACAGAACTCAAGAAAAAATAAAAAGCCAAGAGAAATTGGATCATGTGTGGCATTTACAGGGGAAAGTAAAAAAATTTCCCAACAGCCCTCTGTAAACTCATTTACATTTCTTCGGATATATCACATGAATCACCGGTGTTGGGAGAGAAGTTGAAAACGAAATTGTTTTGCATTTTTAATTCCCATAATGTACGCAGGCAGTGTATAATATAAATACACCCATATATATATATATATATAGAGAGAGAGAGAGAGAGAGAGAGAGAGAGAGAGAAATGTATATATATATATATATATGTGTGTGTGTGTGTGTGTGTGTGTGTGCGTGTGCATGTGTGTGTGTATGTTGATTAATAAGACACACTTTTCTTGAAGTGGTCATCTTTTAAATCTCAAAAATATTGTAAATTTTCCTTTTATAAAGGGACATAATGTACATTATAAGATTGCTCACCAGTAGATAATGACAGTTGTCATCATTAAATAGAAGTAGCTCAAACCAAAGAGTTCTGAAATCCCAACAAGAAGAAATTCTGTTGAATTTTGGATAATTGTTGCAAAAGAGACAAATATTATGCATATAAGTAATGAAATCACAAGGTAAATCCAAATGCACAACTATAAAAAGAAAGTAACCTTGTTAGTGGAGAAGTTGCATACTGTGGTGTCAGGACATCTGTATTTTTTATTTCATTCATTGTTTGGTTGCTTATTCTTTTCTTTTTAATAGAGTTGTTGAGATATGCTTGACATGAAAGAATTTATTAGTTGAATTATATATGTTTTTAATATGAATAATTTGACGATTGTGGACATGGGCATCACCCACGATACCAAAACTTCAATCAAGGTAGCAGACAGAGCTCACCCTTCCCACAGGTTCCCTGAATTCTTCCAGATTTTTATCCATTTTTCTCATTTTTTCCTGTGCAATTATAATGCTTAACATAATATCTCCAGCCCATGGCAACCATTCCAGCATCCTCTGCTTGCACGAATTTCACTAGTGTTTTACATACTTCATAAAAGTGAATTCATAAGGTACTTGTCATTCTGTTACTGGCTTATTTCGTTTAGCATAATAGTGTTTAGTTTGATCCACACTCGCAAGTAGCCTTTCTGCCTTGTTAAGGCTGAGTATCATCCCAGTGTTTCTATGGACCACATCCTCTCTTCTCCATTCATCTACTTATGCACACGCAGGTTATTTCCATATAATGCTTTCCACACTCAGTTCTACAATGAACACGGGTATGAGATTATCCTGAGTTACTGACTCTAAGTCTCCTGAATATATTCTAAAAAGTGGGATTGCTGAATCACAAGTTCTATGGCTTAGATCTAAAATGCCCCCCCGCCAGCATCTCATGTGTTTAGAGGTGGGCTTTGGGAAGATGACAATGGACTAATCCATTCAGGAATTCTTAACTGAACATGCTGTTAGAAAGGAAGGCCTGGCTGGAGGTGGGCCGTAGAAGGCATGACCTAGAAGTGGGTATTCTTACTCCCAGCTTGCCCCTTCCCTCTTTGCTTCTGTGCTCCTATGGGGTGAGCAGCTGTCCTGCACTGTGCCCCTTCGCCAAGTTGTTTTTGGATCCAGCCAGCCATGGACTGAACACATTGAAACCATGAGCCACAAAAACCTCTCCTCCTTTAGTTGCAGGTGTTGCATATTTTGCCCCAGTAATGAGGAAGGGATAACACGATATGATAGCTCTATTTTACTCCTTTGAGCTATAACCATACCATTTTCCGTAGCTGCTGCACCATTTTGCATTCCACTCAACAGTTCCACTTTCTTTAAAAATCTTATCAACATATCTTTAATTTATTTAGCACTGATCAGCCTAAGGAACACACATTATCTTATGTTGGTTTTGATTTACATTTCTCTGACAATTAATAACGTTGATCATCTTTTCATATACTCATTGATCATTTTTATGTCTTTGTAGAAATGTCTGTGCAAGTTCTTTGCCAATTTTTCAACTGGGTTATCTATATTTTTGCTATTTAGTTACAGGAGTTCCTTATATTTTTAATCAACTTATCAGATAACTGGTTTGCAAATATTGTATCACTTTTTGTTGACTGCCTTTCATTCTGATATTTCCTTTGTTGTGCTGAGGCTCCTCAATTTGTTTTCTCTTTGTAGCTTGTGGCTTTGGTATCCAAGAACCCATGACAATGTGAAGAATATTAAGAAGCTTTTCTCTCTTTTTTTTTAATATAGGAATTTCCGGTCTTAATGTCTAAGAATTTAATTGATTTGAGTTGTTTTTGTTTATTATCTGGTTAGGATCTATTTTTCTTTTAACATGTGAATATCTTTTCAACTGCTATGGTGTGTCATGAAGAGACTCTCCTTCATTTTTGGTGTGTTCTCCTCATCACTGGAGAAAGTCAGTTGAGCCGTATCTGCAGATTCATTTCTGGGCTTTACATATTATTCCATCATTCTATTTTTGTTTCTATACTAAGATGGTATTATTGTGACTGTTACAACGTTGTGCTATAGTCTGAAATTAGGAAGTGTGGTACCTCTAGGTTTACTGCTCTTGTTCAATTTTACTTTGGATCTTCTGATTCTACTGTGGTTTCATATTAAATCTGGGATTTCTCTTTCGGGGACAAAGAGCTCTGGGATTTTGATAGAGGTTGCATGGAATCTTTAGGTGGGTTTAGACATTTAAAAACAAAAATTTCTTGTACGTAAGCATGAAATATCTTCTATTTTATACATCTATAGTTTCTTTCATTACAATTTTATGGTTTCCAGTATACACGTCTTCTATTTCCTTGATGAAGTATTTGCTAAGTATTTTTATATCATTGTAAATGGGATTGCTTTCTTAACTTCCCTTTGAAAGGGTTCACTGTTGATAGATCTGCATTTACTTTTACTCTCCTTATGACCTTGTGACTGGTATTTAACTTCTGTGATTTTAACTTTTCTAGATAGTGGACATAGTGGAAATTTATTTTCAGGATCATATGGTAATCTTATAAAACAAATGCCAAACAGGTACAAAACTCTAATTCTATGAAAGTCTTTTCTGAAGAGAAAATTGAATGTTAAAGATCAAAGTCTGTAGATTTCACATTTTTACTGTTTTCTGTTACCCCTAAAGGGTAAGTGAAGGTGAAGACTCAGAGAATCCAGTACCATGTGTTTACAGTAGGAACTAACCAACCTGGTCTAGTTAGTGTTTTTGTCCTGGTAAAGTATTTTAAGAATCTAAAACAGAAATTGACAGAAGAAGGTATAAAAAGATATCTTACATGGTTTCATTGGAACAGAAAAGCTAATCATTATACTAATCTGGCAAGCCACAATCTTGAGGGAATTGTAAAGTGCTAGGATATTGGAGAAGTACCAGGGGACACAATATATTTAATCAGAGATTACGCAAAATTTCAAAAACTGAAAAGGATCCTCCAGAAATGTAGATGTGTGTAGGCTTATCTAGATCAAAGTCTTATGTCTCAGATCAATGTTTAATTTGGCAAACCAGCTAAATATTTTTTTCTTTTTCAATGAGAAAGAAACAAAAGAGACCATAGATGAATTCCAGTAATTGTTTTTGAGGTGAAATTTTGCACATATAAGGTTAATTAGTCAAGGTAAAAGCAGCTTATCAAGTAGAATATAAAGAAAAAATTACACCTATTAAGACATGCAAAGACCCCTAATTTCTTTCAACAAATTTAGTATCAGATACAAATCTCATTTTTAAAAACCCCAGGATGAACCCCAATGCAAAAGACTCAGTTCACTTTTGGATTGATCGAATGGAGGATGAAAAGCATGACTAGCAAACACGGCAGAAACAATAATACAACTATTTGAAACAGAAGCTGCTGAAAAGGAAAAGAGTGCCTAGCAGGCCTGGTCCTGGGGAAAGTGAACACTGACTGATGGTAATTTCACTCACTATTGGCGGACTTCAAGGAAAATGAGGAACTCTCAGGCAATGTGTTTTATAGAACACAGACCTGAGTAGAGTACCGAGACATCTGGAGTTGGTTATCATGCCTAGCTTGTTGCTGTTTGTACCGTTAACTGGAAGCTGAAATATTAGCAAATTAGCATAATTGTAAGCTTTCCATTCCATTAGCCAGGTTTAAGCAACGGACAGTTGATACTGACGTCCGCCAAGTGGGGTCGGGCCGGGGGCCAAGCTCTTCACATGCACGTGGTCCTCTGAAGGACACTTGAGGTCCACTAGACAGCATCTGGCACCTTGACATTAAAAATACCTTCAAAATAAAAGAACAAAGGATTGTATTGCAAAATATATCTGTTATCTTCTTACTTTTATTCTTTATACTTACTTTTTAAACTTTTCCAATAAATATCTATCACCTTTATAAATCTATGAAGAACATAAAATTTTAAAAATTGGCTTATATGTGACTGTAATATTATAGATATTCAATAACTGATTGCATTTTAAGGCAAATTTGATTATCTGAAAATACCATCATGTAAAACGAAGGCAGAACTAATCCTGTTTCTATACACCTCTTTAGCATGTTTCATTAAACCATTTGCAATATTTTATATTTGCTCATCATCCAGATATTTTCAAAGTAGAGACTAAAAGACAACGTGTTAGACAGTGATATATTCATAAAAAGTGCTTCCCAAACTGAGGTGATTAGAAATATCAGATTATGACATTCTCTCAGAAGAAAAATGCAGTTAATTCAAATATGTTGACTTTCATTTCTACCATTTTGAAAAAAACCTAACATATTTTAAGAATTTTAACTCTTGCCTATAAAAATTCTGAAACTTTTTAATATTTTTGAATCATACGTAAGTAATAGTATCCCACAGACTGATATTATTGAAACACACTTTATAAACACTGACTCTAGAAAATTTTGCCAAAAGGAAAATGAATCTTTTTACACATTTTTGAAAAACAATTTAAATTCTTTTTTTAATGCTTTATTAAAAGTAACAGAAATAAAATGTGGCATCTATTGTACAGTATCTAATTAAACTGTTCAATATCTGAACTACAGGTAGTACTCTGTTAAACTGAATGAGAAGTAAGCAAGTGATGTTATCAGTTCCTGGGAAGTCATGGCTGTCAAAGCAACAGTTCCATGTAGCTTTTAATATAAGAAAACCAATCAGCATTGTGCGCTGTAAGAAGTCAGGAATATGACCATTATAAATCTTAAAATTGATGTGCTTCAGAATTACTGAATAGAATTCACCGTGCGTGCAACGTTAGTTAAAAAGCAGAAATGACTGAAAGTTGTGGGTTATGTAATCTTATATCTAATCACTAATACCAAGAGCTTAAAAATGTTACTGGTAATCTTTGCATTAAGAGATCAAATTGTTTTTTGCGGTAAACATTTTCATTTTGTTCTCCTAAATACTCTTGTATGAGGACTGGTATGTGCTAGGCTTAGAGAAGGATTCACCTTAATCAATACCACTGGAGCAAGAGAAAGATTGGTCCAGTGATTAATTTCATGTTGTACTCATGGGAACAAAACAGCTGAGTATATTTGTCTCTATAATCCCTTTTCCCAGATGTAATTACAAATGGAATTGATCAACTCATGTGTTCCTACTGGGGCTAAAGCAAGCATATTAGAATTGCCAGGGTGTGTAATAATTTAGTACAGATCATCATTCCTTAGAGCTGTAGGGAATTGCACATTAGAGTCTTATTTTAAAAGAAAACACTTTTTCCTCTTCAAGTTCCTTTCTTCTTGTCAAGGTGAAATAACTTTCTAGAATTTTGGTGGAGTTTAGTGAAGGAAAGCTAAGAACTGAATATTTATCAGGAGAATGATAGAGTTGGAAGAAGAATAGGTTTCAGAGACAGCTTTCCTTGAAAATATTCCAGTTACAATAAATTCACTCTCTTAAAGCATCAAATGTCGTATCCTTACATGCGGATAATATTTATCTTGCAGAGCTGTTACAAAGATTATATGTGATCATCACTCTGAGGTTACTAAGTATTTTTTAAAATGGCAATTAATTCACAAGAAACATCTCTTCAAAATTCATATATTACTTTTGTTCCTGGGCAACTTCTGTAGTATTTCATGATAGAAATTTGCATCTGCTGTGTATGCTTTGTTGAACGGTTATGAAACTCAATACCCACAATGTATCTGTCCTAGATGCCACGTTGTTAAGGTGGATTTGCGTATGGATCTTTAAGGGACAAACATCAATGAATGAATTAAAATCTGTCCATGGTACTTACAATCTTCCAGAAGTGCATCTATGACAGTATCATTAGATACTAAAATGAGAATACAACTCTTCACTCAAGGCTATGTTCAGGGTACAAAATAAAGAGCTATTATCCAAGTATTTTCACTTCAATATATCTAAGTACTTTTCTAAGATACATTTTCACAACGTATAACACAAAAGAGGGCCAGCTGTCTTGATTAGTCTATGTTTTTGAAAATCTAAACTTAGGTTATTCTTAATACAACTGTATCATGCACTAATTACATAGCTCTGAACAGCTTCCTAAAATATTTGTAAGCATGTGTGTGTGTGTGTGTGTGTGTGTGTGTGTGTGTGTGTGCTCGCGCACTTTTGTATATATTTTCTCCAGGCTTTAAGGACTGGCATTTCCTCTCATCCAATGAGGTATGATCGAATGTGCTGTAAATATTCTGCCAAGCAGCAGCAATGCACCATTCCGCAAACATCCTCAGCCCATGAGCAATTCATCACATCTCTGTAGTGAGCATGCTCTGCAGTGTGTGCTTTTATGCCACAGTGCCCTTATCCTCTGTGCCATTTATTTGGTACTATGCACAGTTTTGATGTCTAATAGCTGAAAATGTGCGCAGCTGAGAAGTTATACTTTCCAGGAAGAGCCATTATTCTGGGTGTTAACATTCAAGTCGTACAAAAGCTCATAATGTCTGCGAGGGGATGATTAATACGGTGAAGTGAAAACTCAGTAGTCAACTGAAAGCAGAAACAGATTGACCCTGTGAAGGGCACCGTAACCCTCATTAAACTCTGATGAGGGATAGAACAACAAACATAGAAAGAAGTGGACGTGGCCTTTCACAGTTTTAGGGGATCGAAAGAGAATGGCAGAGAGACAGCAAATGGCAGAAAAGCAAATATCCAAGGGGGACCGCGCTATAAAGACACCGATGCTCCATCGCACCACCCCACGCAGTGCTCTCCTCACCCTGTAACACTCCTTTGCATGAGCGTTCTAGGGAATGTGTGTATTTGTTACATAATTGCTGCTGGGTTCATTTATTAACTTTGAAATGAAGGTTGCATGTTAATAATTTGTGCTTTTAAAAAATCATTTGCTTTTCAATTTGCTTTTACAATCAAAATGGCAGAAAGTCACGCATTCCTTTTTATTTTTTCAGAAGTCTTGGTAATTACTTAGTCACTTCTGTTCTTCTTTCCAGAGGCCCTTATTCTGATCAATTATTATTCACTCGGTTTAGACTGACATGTAAGCGTTTTCTTCTAATTTTTTTGAAAACAAATACTAAATATTTTTATCTAAGATAATTTTATATAAAATATGACCTCGATAATTTATTTGAGCCCATGCTGTTTCACTGTATTTTGCAAACCATTTGTATATTTATATGCATAGATTTTTTGTATGATTTTAACTATTTTTATAAATAAAGCCAGTAAAGACCATGTGCATTAGAATCCTTCCATTTTCCACTGCCAGTGAGGAAAAGGACACAAACCAAACTGGCTGATGATACAGCAGAATGTACTCACATAACTGAGAAGCCCAGAGAAATGGCTGCTGCAGATGTGATTTGTGACTGGAGATGACGTGATTTCCACTAGATTTGAACTGTAGACCTCTGCGGTAGACTCCAGTCTCCTGCCCAGTGTAAGACGCAGACCTGAAGAAAGACTCAAAGTCAGAAAGAAACGGAGAAGTAGGGAGCCAGGATGGCCAGTGCTGAGCAACCAGCAGAGACCCTGATCAGTCCAAGCCACTGAATTTTACTGGTAATCAAACTGGGGTAAAGAGTAACTGCTTACTACATGCAAGGATGTGAAGTTGTATAGTTGCTATGGATAGAAATGCAGGCAAGGCTTGTAAAGGAAAAGACAAAGCATTCTCGAATTAGGAACAGATCATACAAAATATAGGGTTTCACTTAGAACCTCGGCCTTTTAGTTAGGAAGGGTTTAGTGGTGGGAATGAAGTAGTAATGATGCTGTTCTATAAGATTTATTAAATCTAAGGTGTCATTGATTTTAAAACATAATATCATTTCTTATACTCCTGGGGTAAAAATAGCAGCCAAGTAAACTATCACACGGTATTAATTGTAAGATGCTTCTAGATAAGAGAGATGTTACAATGGGAGAAAAATATGGTGATTAGAAATGATGCCATAGAAGTGGGGTATAATTTACATTGAAATGTATATAAAGTATAATTTTTAGGGAATACATTTGTAATCAGACAGCTATTGATTTTGACTTGACATTTTATGTGCAAGTTGTTTTATCAAATTAATTTGCCTTCATTTTTCCCAAATGTAAAGTATTACGCTGTCAACAATGTTAATGATGTAGGGTTTTGCAGATTCAAAACTGATAAAACATGAAAACCATCACTTGCAATAACTGTCTTAGTAAATATCTACTTTTTCTAATTTTTATTGTAATTAATTTGGGATACATCAAGTATAAGAAGATGACAAATCTGCAGATACCCTAGCACATTTAGAACCACGACTTTGGGGGACCAAACCATCCACCTCTAAGATTTTGGGTAATCTTTTAAGCAGCTGTTCTATAGAACAGGGTTTCCTGAGCTGTTGTCCACAGCTGTATGGTTCACTACTTAGTGCCACTCTGCTCTTCTCTCCAGAATCACCCTGCCTCTCTTCCGTTACAGCCTCTTAAAGACAAGTCAGGCTTTTCCACGCTCTCATCAGATTTCAACTCTTCACCTTCTCTCTGCACTTCTAGTAGTGGCCATTGGATCTGTTTACAAATGTGCCTTTCCTTCCCTTTCTTGGCATGATTGTATCTCTCTGGCTCTGACATCCACCATGAACAGCGAGCGGCTTCACTTAAAGAAAGAGCATGCAAGCGAGTCAGTGCTGAGCAGATCTTTAAGCAGAGGTCAGCAAGCAGTTCCCCAGCCCTTTTCTTGCCTCCAATTCATGAATACATGAAGAGGCAGATTTTCCATCAGCACTGATAGCAGCTGAGGAATACCACAACCCAAGGCTGCCTGAATTGAACATAGACTGGGAATGAAAAATATCCTTCTGCTGTATCAAATCTTAGAGGTTAAGGGACTTACTGCCAGCAACAGTAAAACCCAGTGTAACCTTTCAGCCATGGATGAAGGTGCTTCTCGGGAGACGTCGGACAGCGTGAAACCAGTGTAGGTTGTCACACTTGGGAATCGGAGTGCTACTAGGGCAGCAGACAGAAGTCAAGGACACAGTGCAATACACATGAGTGTCGGACATCACAATTTTGTTTCCAGTTTCTCGATTCTTTTATTTAATCTTCTTTCCCTCCACTTCCTCCCCTTCATACTATTGCTTGTTCCCCTTCTCATTTGAAAAATGTATCCCTGTTTCCCATTATCTTTTATTTTGTTCTTTGTTCATATACTAGGTTTGCCTTATGAGAGACCGTATGACCTTGAAGTTTGTGTGCCTGATTTATTTCCCTTAACGTCAAGGTGCATCCATTCACCTACAAACGCCTCACGTTTATTCTTCTTCATGGAAAGGTCTTCTCCCTTATGGACAAACCCTTTTTCTTTATCCACTCATCTGATAGGGACGGAGGGATGAGAGGGGTAGGGGAAAATGAATTAAAATGTATTGCACACATTATCAACTTCCCATGGCAAAGGTAATCGTCGTGTATGGCAAACATGATATAGTTTAATAAAAGGATTTTCAGGCTTAAAAATCTCAATTGTGCCAAGGCCGAGAACAGTAGACTGGCTATCTTGACTGACAGTTTCCATTTACAATGTACCATTCCTTTAAAGAAATGCGTAGACTGATTCTTATGTAATGGTGGTTAATAAATGTTCAGTACAGTATTTAAAAATTGACCCAACAAGTTGCTTCCAGATGTCTGGTAAAAATATTCCAAACCATTAAAAATTGTGGCTAGTTATGCTTTCAGAAAGCATAAATGATATATTGATTTGGGAAATTCAGTCTGGAAGAATTTTAGAAAGCCACAATAAAAGCAGGTAAATAGAGATACAGAGCTAAAGCCTCCAGGACATTTTCAGGAGCTATACTGGGAACATAATTTGCAAAACATTTCTCATGTGCAGTTTATAGCCTTATAAAAGTCAGAACTTAAATAAATTAAAAGCATTTGACAGCATTAGATGGTGACTTTCCTCCCTTTAATTTCTGGGTAATACTTTTCAGCTATACAGTAGAGTTCCGACTAGATGAGAACCAGTAAGATGAGTTTAAATATCTCCAGGCTTTGGGATATTTTCTTCTTTAGAATATCTAGTTTGTCTTCAGAAATTCATGAAAAGGAAAATATTTATTTCTATTGCTGTAACTTACCAGCATTTTGAGCCATTGCAGAAGAGGCATTCCGCTGGAGAAATCTCGACTGATATTTAATCTTTAAGAAGGTTTTTCAGGAAGAAGGATTAATTTCCTAAGTTTCAAGCTTTGAAGCAACTGTGAAACAGACTGCATCACTGGCCTGTGGAAATGGCGAGCAGGAACAGAACAGCTGAAAACCTCAGCTTCACAGAGCAACACGAAACTTCGTTTCAGTGCATGTGTGTTGAATGTGTGACTTTGAGTGTCCGTCTTTGTAAGCAACTGAAACAAATATATAACACAGAAACGTTGTCTCAGAGACCACCGCTCCTCTTTTAATCTGCACAACTATTTCTTTTGTTCTTCTGTGGACTCTTCCTTTCCACGCTTCAGTTCCTTGGCTGCTTTCTCGAGAGAAGCAAGGTGAGACAGAAATGTGAGGTAGCCATTAAGACAAGGCACTGACGAAGCTAGAAAATTATCCAGCAGCCATGTAAAATGAGTAAAATGAGCTAGTAAATGTTATTTAACTCGATATAGCTAATGATACTGTCATTTTCACAGGTCATTGATATTAAAATTGTTCAGAATTTAACGATCCGTTTTTCATGCTTCTGAAATCTGCTGTGTTTGTCCCATTATAGGACAGCTCAAACTAGCCACATTTCACACACTCACTAGCTTCGTGTAGCATGTGGTATCCTACAAATATAGAGAATGAGTAGGGAAAATCCCTCATTTTTGATAAAATAAGGGAATTATTGGACACATACCAGCCTTCGAGAGTGATAAGTAGAGAATGCAAGAGAACCAAAAGGTATTGCATCAATCTAAAGAACAGGCAAACATAGGAGCAGCTCAGGCATAACATTGGATGTATAAAGATGTTAATTTCTATTGCTACTCTGCCAGAGGTGTCTGCATTTAAGTAAAATGTAGGAAGAATTCAAATTAGTTTACGTAGCTATTTCCCACTTGAAAAATAACGTAAATTAAAAGTTAAAGGCAAAGCTCTATCCATTGTGACTATATCACCACAAACACATTTCATAAGCCCTTGCTGTTTTCTCTTCATTCTTCCACCTATTTTAATAAATACCATCACCCAGTCTCTTTGTTTTTAACAAAGAAGAAACTTACAGCTTCAACAGGTTAATAAAGTAGCTCAAGGATACGCGGACAGAGCCGCAGTCTCAGGCCACATACCCTGTGCTAGCGGGTCGCTGTTCCAGCCGCCTGCTGTGTGCACCCGCCTCTATCCCAACACACATGAAGGCGACTTCAAGGAGCAGATGAACTTTTACCTCCGCTCATTTTGTCTTGCTTTCAGATGATCCTCAAGATAATTTATGTCAGCTGTATGAAACACTTCACTTCCCTTTCTCTTACTCGCAGCTTAACCTCTAGTACCTTTTTAATATTACCCCCAGGAGAAATGTAAGAAATAAATACTTAAGAAGCAAGGAAGCTAAATTTATAACTGGTTTAACTACAGAGAATTTGTGGTCTGGATTACATCCAGGGTGTTTTTAAAGAGTGTTTTCTTCCTCCATGTATATTTCCATTGTGACTATCACAGCAAAACGTGCTTATAAATAATTGACTTATTTGCTCTGAGTGTCATTGGCGTGTTTGATTGAACATCTGTTGTTTATAATCCTCCTATCGAGACATTAGGCATCAGGTAAGTCCACCTTCCTGAGAATGTTAGTAGCTGTGTTCTTGCCTTCATTATCATCCCTGTGGAGTGCTATGATTGTTTTTCTTTAATCTATCAATTCAATCTGCAAGGTGCTGGCATGTCCAGCAGTCTGGGAACATACCATTGCTCTTCACCCCCACCCCCCAGTGGTCCATTTCTCCATGCCCCCTTCAGAACCTCCCGCTAAGAGTTGTTTCCCAAATGTGCCAGCATCCATAATTTTCTACATACGGGGCTTCTGCCTCCTTGGTCCAGGGGGAACATGTGGGGGAAAACTGAAGGCATAATTATAAGCTTTAACGTGATTTTCATTTCCAGCAGAGAATAATAAAATTAAACAACAGAAACCTCTCCAAACAATGGGATGAATCATTTTGAAATTTTTCTCAAACAATTTGAGATGAATTGCCATACTATGATTACTCAAACTATAGAAATAAAATCTTTACATTACCCGGATCTTGAGAAAAATGTTGCATTATTTCCTGCCTTACTTGAGCCCTTCTTATTACTGAAATGCTGACTAGAAATATTTTAAAATGTTATGATTACTATTCGTATTTGTTGACATTTCCAATGTTTATAAAGAAATGCTTCTCTGTAAACAGCCATAGATCCGTGTTATATATGCATCATTTGTTCATAACCTTGAAGGGACAGTGGAGGCTTCGGAAACATTATCCAATTACACACCCATATCTGATGATAACCCTTCAGTGTGTGCTTATTATGTAGAAAGAGCCTTTTAATGATGACTGCATTTTACTTCCTGTCAGAGTCCTAAAATATAATGCAAAGCCCAATGGTAATATAAACCTAGAAGAAAATCAACACTTCAGTCTTGCAGTTCTGATAGCCTTATCAGCCACAGTCACAACAAGACATTAGAGTGCAATGCATAAAGACACTTCCTGCAACCAAAATGAATTGCTCCATATTTCTCCTAAGCTCTTGTCATCTCTAGTTCCCATTAGTTGAATATTTTCTCTAACTCAAAGTCACACTTTAACTTTGACAAATTGCCTTGCAGGTGATTTCTTCATTCCATGAATAATTATTTCAACTCTGATTTTATTGTTACCTAAATAAAGGAGATTTTGCCTTTGTTTTTGTTTTGCTTTCTCAAAATAAAAAAACAGAGGAAATATAATTCCTGCCAATTCCTTTTCATTAGCAAACTATGACCTTACCATCAATTCAACAGATGAAAGCTAAAGTACCCTCGTGATGGGGATACAGGCCAGGGGATAGGATCCTTAAAGACTTTGTACTTTAATAGGAAGACAATTAGTCTGTAAAGCTGAAATAGGAACTTATTGAGAGCACACTTACCTCTGCTCCCTGAAATAGCATTTTTCACTGTGCTATTTTCTCATTGTGATCTTTCATTTCTTAAAAAGTGTTCCAACTTAACTGCAGTGAGGAAGAAATTAAATGAAGAAGTGTGTGAGTGATTGTTTGAGATCCAGTGGATCTCTAATATTTTGGACACATTGAAGAGGTGTCCTCTTTTCAGCCAGAGAAAGAAGATTACAGTATGCTAAAAACATGCCCCTGTTCTGAATATGCTCTGTATTTCAGGTGAAATCTGTCTGTGTAGGACTGTCAGCAAAGGAAACCTCAGAAGGGCTTACATCGGGAAGGAGTGGCTTTGTCTTATTCAGGAGAATATCCAAGAGCAAGCCCTCTAGGGTGTGTGTGACAGACTGAGAATGCTATCTAGGATCTTCATTTTTACGTGGTTTAGTTTTTGCTACAGCACAAGTAGTGTGTAGAACTCCATTCCTGCAATTTGCTTAAACTCTTAATTACATGTTGTAGCTCTCAATATTATGTCCATGTTCCAGGCAAGAAGAAGGTAAAAGAGGAGAAAGATCACAAGATACATTCCAGTAGAATCTGCCCCTTTTAAAAGAATTTTTACAAAAATTCCAACAAAGTACTTCCATCTAAATTTCAATGAGGCTATTCATTACTCAAGATTACCCAAAGAAGTGAGGGGGGTAGAGAGCTATCTATAAGGACAAAATAGACTCCCCAATAGGCCCATCTCCCACTAATTTCATCAAATTTTGAATCCATCAATAGATTAATCCACTGATAAATTAGCAGTCTCCTTGATCCAGTTGCCCTCCACAAGTCCCACTTCTGACCACACGAGCTTTTAGGGGGAGATTTTTGATACAATTTACAAGTTTCCCATGGTTTAGTCAAGTTGACACAGAACATGAACCGTAGACTTAATCTGGGTCACACTGGAGGTAATTAAAGAAGGCAAAAGAGTAAATAGATAGGTTTTAGTGGAATTTTAGTAGATTAAAATGACAACAATTTGCTAATTCTCATGGGCTTGCTCAGTACACAGTTCTGCTTACTAATCAGGGACAAGTTCAGTTTATTCCATCTTAACTTGCTCACATACTGGGGGCCTCAGCTCTTCTCCACACGGTCTCCTCATTCTGCAATAAGTTTTCCTGGCTTTGTTTTCATGTCTGATGGGTTACAAAAAAAGAAGGAGAGGGAGTGGGGCGGGGGAGTTTCAGGACACCCAAGTAAGCTTGGACCTGGTGTACTCTACTTCTGCAACGCAGTGCAATTCATGGAAAATTATAAGGACAACCTAAATTCAAGATACAGAGTCTCTACTTGTTGACAGAAGGAACTACAAAGTTCCATTGAAAAGAGAATGGATCAGCGAATGATAGTTTTTGCAGTCTATTATAAATGTGAAAAAACAGGGCTGAGTGTCCCCCGTTTACATAACTTCAGCCAGTTCTTAGAAATTGTCCATGTCAGTCTCATTGTTAGTTCAGTGTAAAGCTCCCTACATTTCCTTTGTCATGAGTTACACATATGGATAAATCACACAGGGAGGAATATTTTAAAAATCAAAATTAAATTACTGCACAGTTACAAGGATCAGATTGCATTCCTTAGCTAGAATAAGAAGTAGTTTGCATATGTGCCAATTACCAATAGAACTGGTAAAATACTAAAAACATAGATTTTTTAAAACCCAAAATCTAAACTATGAGTCTCTCACCTTCAAGTAGTACACAGTTCTGTGAAAGAATTTCCACTGCAAGAAATAGAAATTATTTATATAGGTCAAATGGTTTTTGTTTTGGTCTAGATCTAAAAGCCTCATGTGTTTGGGCACTGATCAGCTCACGGAGGTGTACACTTGCAGTGGCTTTAACCATTGGTGAGTTGAGTTTAGTAGATGACTGTGCTGTTAGGAGGTGGGGCCTGGTCACTGAAAGAGGTGGGACACTGGGAAGATGCATTCTTGTCCCCAGCTCCTCCCTTCCCTCTGCTTCCTGGCTGCCATGGAGTAAGCAGCTTTCCTTCACTGCACCCTTCTACCATGATGTTTCTGCCTTGGAGCCAGCTGACCACGGACTAAATACCCCCAATAGTGAGCCCAATTAAACCTTTCATCTTTCAAGTTATGAGTTTAGGTGTTTTATCCCCATGATGAGAAAAGCTAACTAATGTAGCTCTCAAATTAGCATTTTAAAGAATTACTCGGAAGTCTTATCAAAGTACAATTTATTGGGCCTCAGTGAGATTCTGACTCAAGAAGATTTGGGGCTTAAAATGCTGCCTCTTAATATTTCTTGGGTATTTTTAAAGCTGCTCTTACAAGATTCTTTTCCACCACACTTCAGAACCAACAACAGGCCTGATTCTGTCAATCTGTACACCCAACTGCTTAGGATGCCTCACATCCTCACTTAGGGACTGTGTTATTCAGTTTCCCAGTCACTGGGACTCAGTGGGTGGAAATAACCCCAAAGAAGAAGGAGCAAGGGGCAGTTAGAGACCTTAAATTCATGCCTCAATGACCCCCCTGAACCCACAATTCCCTGGGTGGATCCCAGCCCAATCCACCTTAAATGTCATAGACTCCTAGACTGGCAAAGCTTCCACCACGATCTGGTGAGAAGGAGGAATGTTGTTGCAGAACTGCCCACCAATTATACCTGCTGAGCCCTGAAAGTACCAGTAGACACTGCTGTTCATGGAATGTCTGTCAAAGCAAGTTGTAAAGCCATCTAATTACAAAGGGATCATCCTTGAGAAAAGAAGGGTTTGCAAAACTGCATTGCTAGCTACTAGGAAAAAACTAAGGGCAGTATTTAGAAGTAGAGGAACAGGAAAAAATGTTATCTCAAGTTTTAGAGTTTGTCTTACTTGGAGAATAATTTAGCACTGATAGAAATAAAGAAAACAGAAGTTGCTTTTAATAGGAAGAAAATAAATTCTTTGAAGCAGCATTTATAAAGAGAGCTAAGTGGAAATATTCAACATTATCTCCTAGGTATATCTCCAGAAAAATGTGGGCATAGAAAAATGAAATTGAGAGGTGCTGGAGCTGAAAACATAGTTTAAGCAAGAGTAATAGATGAAGTGAACATGACAACACTGAAAGAGCTGAGAACTAAAACTTGGTGGCTTCTCACAGTACAGAAAATGAACACGTGAGGGAAGGACCAGGCAAGAAGTCCAAAAATGGAAAGCTAGAGAAATTCTGCAGAAGTCACTATGAAAAGAGTTCCAGGAAAGAAGAACCCAAGTATTAACTGTTAGTTACAAAAATACCCAGGGATTATCAACTGAGAAATTAGTCTTTAACCTTGTCAATTAGTTAATAACTAGTGACTATTGATAGAAGTCTCTATATATGATTAGAGTGGAAATATTGGTATACAGCAATTCATTTTGTC